GCCTGCCGCGCACGGGCAGGGGCCGCGGGGCTGCTGAGGAGCCGCGCGCGGATGATTGATCTCGTGTCAGCAAGCGGTGGTTTGAGCTGGTGCCAGGCCTGAGCTCAAACAGGAGCATTGAAGGGGGAGAGCCCCTTCCCCCTCCGGAAAGCGGTGCAACTGGAGTGCCTTGTGAGGGGCAATCCCTTGACTGCCGCCCCCATCCCACTCCCAGATGTTGGATTATTGGGCCCTGCTCGTAGATGTTGGGTCTTCGGGCCCCACAAAGCTCCCTCGCCCCTGGGAAGTGTTAGCTCGGAGGAGCCTTTTGAGCCTTTTTTGCCTTGGAGGAGAGGGAAGGAAGAGGGGATGTGAGAGGAGGAGGATGAGGCTCTGCCCCAATGAGGCTGGTCATGCAGTGCCCATGGGACTTGGGCTCTGGGTGCTGCAGTGGCTCGGCAGCTGCGTCCCGGCCTTGGGGAGACCCAGGATGTGCCAGTGGGTCCTCCAAGCAAAGGACCTTTGCCTTTTGGGCAGGAGAACAAGGGGGACGTTGACGGGGCTGTAAAGGAAGCGCTGTGTGTCAGTGAGGGACGTGGCAGCTCCATCCCCAGCTAACTGGGTCTGGACCGGGATGCCCTGTCCCTCTCTGCCCGCACGGCCAGGCTGTCTCTAAGCGAGCGCGGCAGAGGGGCCGTGCTGCTCCCTGGCCTTCCCAGAGCTGTTTCCTCCCAAAGCCCCGGGTAGCCCCTGCCTGTCTGCGGCCTCTCATACAGAGGGTAGGGATGGGGGTGCAGAACAGCTGGGCACAGCTGGACAGGAGGCAGCCCCCGGGGGATGCTCTGCATCGGTGTGCACAGCCCCTCGGGTACGCACAGCCCTGCTGGTGCCAGAGCATTCCTGAGGCTGCTGCTCCCTCTCCACTCGGACCTTTGTGCAGTATCTATCTGTGCAAGGAAACAGGGCCATTCATGTGTTTCGCTCTCTATTTATACCTCTCCCTTTCCGTATTTAGTGTGTGCACAGGCAGAGGGGGCAGCATATACCGGGGCGACTGATGTTCTTGGCTCCAGCGCTGGCTGGAATTTCGTCTTGGAATGTATCCTGAACCACTCTGAAAACACGAATAAATCTCTGTGTGTTGTGTGCATGTGTGTACACAAATATATAGACAACTTATAGACCCAGAGCCATATAGGGCAGTTGTGAGCTTTTCTATTTAAAGATGCAAGTAGTTACAGGGCTCCCGGTGAGCCAAACACCTCTGTATCAAAGGGATGCAGGATGTCCTGCTAGAGGCCTGGCACCTTGGGAAATATATGGCCCTTTCCCAGCTGTCTCCAGGGATCAGAGATCGCCTGGCTGCCCACATACCCTGCTAGTCTCAAGCTTTGCTCTGATCCCCGTGGCCCAGGAATGTCACAGAGCTGTGTTTTAGAGGTCTCTGCTCCCCCATTGCAAGTTGTTCTGCGACAGTGCCAAAGACACTGATGTGCTTGGTGTGCCGCTGGATGCATCAGAGCAAGGATTTCAGACTGAAATTTCAGAATTTCAACTGAATAGCCCAGGGCTTCTGCAGAGTTGGGAACTGCTTCCGGAGCAGTTTCTGCTTCTCATGGCCGTCTAGGGAAGGGAAAGGAACAGGAGAAGGGGAAAATAAGCACTGGGTACCAAATCCCGAGTGGGTGCTCAGTTGGGCTGTAGGGATGGCTCCTTGGGAAGCACCAGAGCTCCTGGTGCTCATGGCTGTCTAAGGAAAGTGATGGGAAGAACATAAGTACTGGGTGCCTGATCCAGGCTGTGCAGGCATCGCCCTGGGAGGTGCCGGTGCTGTGGCCCGGCCCGGCGCTGAGCATGTGGCACCTTGGCGGCTGCAGGGCAGGCGCCGTGTTCAGCCCAGCTGGCAGCAACACCAGCTTTCTGTGTTCTGGATGCCAAAAAACCTGACATTTTGGGCTGAAAATGCCCGTGTTTGGGCGCTGGCCAAAGGAGATGTGTTTGTGGGTGAGGGAAAGTGCGTGCAGGGGAAATACAGTTTTCCTTTTTAAAAAAGGACCACTTATTTTTATACCGAACTCCAGAAGGGCTGAATGTGGAAACTTGGCCTGTCAGCAGCTGTCACAGGGGAGTGGGTCCCTGCCTGAGTTTGGGGGGAAACCACAGCTGGGTGTTAATGGGACTGTTAATGAATTAATGTTGGCTGCTGTGCGCAGGGGGAGCGGGCTCTCAAGCCCAGCCGCTCTCTGCACACGTGCTGCAGCCTGGGGTCCCACTGCAGCCCTTGCACGGCTGCAGCTTTCCATGAAGCCCTGCACCTGGGCCATGTGCGCAGGTGTGACTCTCCCTGCCCTTCCTTCTTCATTTTGAAATACGCTTTCTGGATCGTGGCAAAAAGCTTGGAAATGTGCTGGAAATACCAGGCTCACACGCTCCCCCCGGAGCAGCAAGGCAGAGTGCAGTGGGACTGAGGACCCGGGCTGGAAATGCGGAGGGAAGTGCAGAGAGAATGTGGGAAAGAGCAGGGTCTAAGAGAGGTGAGGCACATCCTTGATGCAGGAACTGGGGCAGGGGAGCAGTGCTGGCTGCATGGGGAAGGCTTTGCAGCTGGTCAGGAGGGGAAGGAGAGTGGGCAGATGTGTCTGTGCATGCACAGTTGTTGAGCCTTGGCATAGGAAGGCAAATTCTTCTCCATGTACCTTTCCTGCTGCATTTGAATTCAGATGCTGTTGACGAGATCTCGTCTTGTGGCGTCTGCTGCGTGGGGTTTTCATCCTCCAGTACCAGACAGCTGCCAAGAGGCTGAACCATGAGGAAAGGGATGCCCATGCCGTGGAAAGGATGGCTGTGCCAAGAAGGGCATGGTCCTGCCATGGAAGGGATGGCTATGATGGGGAAGGGAAGACCATGCCGAAAAGCGTATAGCCGTGCTCAGGAAGGCAAGAGCAAACTGAAGAAGGGATGACCATGCTAGGGAAGGATTGAGCATGCCTAGTAAGGAACCGTGGGTGGACAAGATCCTCAAGAAAGGTTGGTGTTGTGGATGTGGGTAAATTCAAGGGGAAAAGTGGTCTTTGGGAAACCTTCTGGTGCTGGGGGGAGGAAGGCTGGAAGAGCCTGGCCTTCCCTGGGAGCTCGGCCTTCTCCAAAGGGATGTTGCTCTCCTACCCCTTAGGTCTGTAGGGACAGTGTAGATGGACCCTCACCTCAGTAAGGAAAGCCTTGTGAGCCTGCTGTGCTGGGCTGCATGTGACTGTCCCCATGGGCTGGAAAAGCACTGTCAAAGGAGCCCAGAGCCCGTCTCAGAGGGCTCTGAGGCTCCTCTGTGCCCAGCCATGGGCTCCCAGGGATCGGCTCAGCCTCTGCTGGGCCCAAAGCCTTTCCAAACCCCATCGCAGACAGACGGATATCCCAAAACCCACTGGCCGCAGAATCTGTCCCGAGGGCCCCTGCTCTCAGTCCCTCTGGCTGAATGAGGTGGTGTGCGTGTGCCCAGACTGTCCCTTTCTGTGACTGAACAGTACACACGGCTAAATATACGTCTGTGCAGATACAGGAACTCAGAGGGGCTGAGTGATGCTCCCTTTCTATACCTCTTTTCATGGGGAGAGCTAATGAGATTCATGTCATTAAAGGACTGATGTTTTGTGGGATGGGAGCCTTTTAAATGGGATGTGTCCTGGCTTAGTCATGGCAAATATTTACCAAAAAAAAAAAAAAAAGGAAAAAAAAAAAGGAAAAAAGGGACATACCATGTAAAATTAGAGTTCTGAAAATAGTATTTAGAGCAAGTGGGAAAGAGGAACCTAAAACAGAAAATACAGCCCAGTCTGTTCAGGAGTCAGGGGAAAAAGGAAAAAAAAAAAAAAAAAGCCAGAGATAAAACGAGAGAAACCTCGGCAGTAAAAACAGCATCTTGGTAAATAGACTATTAAAAAAATTCTGACCTGCTTTATGGCTTTCTTGGCTGCCGTTCAGCTGCGCTGCCCTGGCCGGCATGGAGGGAAGGTAGCAGGAGCCGGCGTCTGTGTGGATGCTCAGAGCACCGGGACGCGGCTCCCCCCTCAGAGCGGCCGCGCGGGGCGTTAAATTTAGCCACATAATGATGGCCCTGAGGAGGCAGCCTTTTGTAGCCATGCTGTAATTACTGCCTCGCTTATAAATTTTATTTTTCTTATTATGTTTCCTCCTCCTCCGCCTTGGGAAGGAAGGGGAGGGGGGTCTCCCGCAGCCCCCTCAAGCCCGGAGTGCTTGGAGGCTCCTTGGGGAGCCCTGGCCACCACTGTGGGGACCGTGCAGGTCTCCAGGCCCTGGCAGCGCCTCGTCTGACCCTAACGTGTGCACAGGGGCTCATCCTGGGTTTGGGAATGGAACAAGCAAGTCTGGGAGGTGTTGAGATAACCCCGCAGCCCAAAGAGCAGGAATTGGGCCCTCCTGAGCCTTAGCATCGCTCTCCGCCTGCCAAGGAGTGGCTGGGACGTGGGCTTTGCCTGAAGGGCTAAAAGGGGCCCAAGGCCTGCTGCAATTGGGACTCCATCCGGCATGGAGGCACTGGCTCCATCCCTACTCCTCCAGGAAAAAGGAAAGGCAAAAAGGATGAAGGCCACTTCTGGGAGCCTTCCATGTCCCGGCTCCATGTGGGACACCAGGGATGACTCCTCTCAGAGCTGGTGCAAGTGGGGGACAGTTTGAGGCAGGGCAGGAACGTGCCAGAAAAGGTCTCGTTCACCTCTTGTTTTCCCAAAACAAAGGAAGCAGCCTTGCATTGCTGGAAGTCGCGTGCTCGGGCTGTGCTGCCTTGTTATCATCCGATAACCCAGCGACCCCGGGGCTGCCCTCCTCCTCACCCGGCGGCCCGCGCTCCGGGATGCGAAGAGCTTCCGCATTAGCTGCCCTTTGCAGGGATCCAACTCCCCCCCGGGCCCGG